CAAAAAAAATCCTACGCACACGCAAGATCATGGTGATGCATAGCAACGAGAGGGGAGAGTGTTGTCCACGTACCCTCGTAGACCGAAAGCGGAAGCGTTATGACAACACGGTTGATGAGTCGTACGTCTTCACGATCCGACCGATCCAAGCACCGAACGTACGGCACCTCCGAGTTCAGCACACGTTCAGCTCGATGACGATCCCCGGACTCCGATCCAGCAGGGTGTCGGGGATGAGTTCCGTTAGCACGACGGCGTGGTGACGATGATGATGTTCTACCGACGCAGGGCTTCGCTTAAGCACCTCTACGATATGACCGAGGTGGAATATGGTGGAGGGGGGCACCGCACACGGCTAAGGAATGATCACGAAGATCAACTTGTGTGTCTAGAGGTGCCCCCTGCCCCCGTATATAAAGGAGCAAGGTGGAGGCCGGCCGACCCTAGGGGGCGCGCCAAGGAGGGGGGAGTCCTCCTCCTAGTGGGAGTAGGACTCCCCTTTCCTAGTCCAACTAGGAAGGAGGAAGGGGGAAGGAAAGAGAGGGAGAGGGAGAGGGAAAGAGGGGCCGCGCCCCCCTCCCCTTGTCCAATTCAGACTCCCCATGGGAGGGGGCGCGCCACCTCATGGGCTGCTGCCCTCTCTCTCCCCTCAGGCCCACTAAGGCCCAATACTTCCCCGGGGGGTTCCGGTAACCCCTCCAGCCGATTTTCTCCGAAATCACCCGGAACACTTTCGGTGTCCGAATATAGTCGTCCAATATATCAATCTTTATGTCTCGACCATTTCGAGACTCCTCGTCATGTCCGTGATCACATCTGGGACTCCGAACAACCTTCCGTACATCAAAACTTATAAACTCGTAATAAAATTGTCATCGTAACGTTAAGCGTGCGGACCCTACGGGTTCGAGAACTATGTAGACATGACCTAGAACTATTTCCGGTCAATAACCAATAGCGGAACCTGGATGCTCATATTGGCTCCTACATATTCTACGCAGATCTTTATTGGTCAAAGCGCATAACAACATACGTTATTCCCTTTGTCATCGGTATGTTACTTGCCCGAGATTCGATCGTCGGTATCCAATACCTAGTTCAATCTCGTTACCGGTAAGTCTCTTTACTCGTTACGTAATGCATCATTCCGTAACCAACTCATTGGCCACATTGCTTGCAAGGCTTATAGTGATGTGCATTACCGAGAGGGCCCGGAGATACCTCTCCGACAATCGGAGTGACAAAACCTAATCTCGAAATACGCCAACTCAACATGTACCTTTGGAGACACCTGTAGAGCTCCTTTATAATCACCCAGTTACGTTGTGACGTTTGGTAGCACATAAAGTGTTCCTCCGGTAAACGGGAGTTGCATAATCTCATAGTTGCAGGAACTTTGTATAAGTCATGAAGAAAGCAATAGCAACATACTAAATGATCAAGTGCTAGGCTTACGAAATGGGTCAAGTCAATCACATCATTCTCATAATGATGTGATCTCGTTTAATCAAATGACAACACATGTCTATGGTTAGGAAACATAACCATCTTTGATTAATGAGCTAGTCAAGTAGAGGCACACTAGTGACATTATGTTTCTTTATGTATTCACACATGTATTATGTTTCCGGTTAATACAATTCTAGCATGAATAATAAACATTTATCATGATATGAGGAAATAAATAATAACTTTATTATTGCCTCTAGGGCATATTTCCTTCAGAAGTGTCATATGTATGATAGAAAATAAATTCCTTCTGCCCAAAATGTCACGGATGTGTCTTTTTTTTGTAGTGATAGGATAGTTCTATGGGACGAACTCACCGGTAGTGACAACATAATGAATGAGTTGGCTCACCAATTACGTAGGTCTGGGTGGCCTGAAAGGACCTATGAGGAGGTATGTAAAGAACTTCTTAGGTTGCATGCAAGGTGGAAGAATATAGTGGAGCCAAAGAGTGAAACTTTCAAAAGGACTGCAGAAGAACATCCATTTTTATGGATTGAGGAGAGCGAGGATGAAGATGATATCTTCATGCCGCCGCTTCCGGGTTCTGCATCGTCAAAGGGCAAGAGTTCTGCATCGTCTAGGGGCAAGAGTACTGCATCCTCGAAGAGCAAGAGTTCTGCATCGTCCAAGGGTAAGAGTTCTGCATCCTCGAAGGGCAAGAGTTCTGCATCGACGAAGGATGACGATGATGCCTTCATGTAGTTTTTAAGCTGTATTCCAGTTCTACCGTTTAATTCAGATGTACTTGCATTATTAGTTTGTACTCTCTTATTGTAGTGCATTATGTTCTATCTTAATTTCATTTTGTAGTTGTTGCACGATGTTCGATATTAGTGGAGGGAAAGAAAATGCCACTACTTTATTCTAAAACTATATTTTTTTTCCATTATGACACGGTACAACTAAAAATAAGATACATCGTAGGAATAAAGCTACATTTAACTCCTGAAATAACGCTACATTGAAGTGCAGAAATAAAGATACAAATGATTGCGAAATTTAAAATACTACCACAGGAATCTACTGAGTCCAGCGTGGATATTTTCCTTTTCCATCGCCAGCTTCTTCTGCTGCCTTGGCCTCACGAGCCCTTTCTTTTTTTCTCTGCCTCTCCGCCTCACGAGCCTCCTTTCGCTGTCGTTCCTGCTCCTCCATGCAACGAGCCTCTTCCCTGTTCTTCTTTCCTAAATCCTAAAAAAAACGGTGTTGCTCCGCATAATATTCTTTTAACTCGTCATCGCATCCTATGAGGCAAAAGTAGCAAAAGTAGGACTGATTCCCGGGCGAAAGAACCAAAATTAGGCATCAGCGTCCATATCCCCACGCGGAAATCACGCTCTTGGGTGCTGTCACCTCACCTGCAGCAGCAATTTTCAAAGCATGGGAATGAGCGCCATTTGCCACAGTGCTCATGTCGGCCACAGTGCAGGGAATCAGCGCCGTATGCGGGATTAGGCGCATGCAGCAGCCGGCCGCCTGTGCTAGTGGCGGCAGGGCCCGCGCCTTGCCCCGCGAGCAGCAGCAGCTGTCGGCTAGCAGTGTCGGGCAAGGGAGGCCGCCTCAGGCAGTGGCGGCGTGGCCACTGGCGGGGCCCGCGCACAGCAGGGCCTGTCGCCCAGCCAGCGACCGCACTAGGGGTGGCCGCCTCCGGCGGTGGCGGCAGGGCCCACCTGGCCCGCACCGTTCCGTCGCGCGCGTGATGCACTGTGCAGAAGCCGTTCGGCTGGGTGGCCGCCTCCTGCGGTGGCGGTAGGGCCCGCCGCCTCCTGGCGTGGGGCAGGTGCCACGTGTCGCCTGCCGGGCCTGCCGCCACCGCTGAGGGGGTCCTTTTTGTCAAATTGATCTACATGTAGTCTTTTTTGGCAATTCATCTCGGCAGGGGGTCCTTTTGGACAAAAAATATCTACCACCCATCACCGCCAACGGAGCTCTTGCTCTTTGGTTCTTGGTGCACTCATGCCGGCAATGCAGAAACAATATTGTTGCGTCTTAGTCATACAGTCGCTTTTTGAGTAGTTTGGATTGCTTACCACATGTGTCACATGATAGTCATACGGTCGCTTTGACTCAACAATATTCGACGTGAACACGCAACGACGACAACATATATAACCAGGCACAGAACACACCGCCATTGATACAAGTTCGTGATTCATGTATGCTATTGTCCATCCAGTTCTTTCTAAGACTCCCGTCGCGAGCCAGGCACGGCGGGGCGCAGCCGTAGAGACATACTAAAAGGGGCGCCACCGATGTGTCATCGTGCAGTACCAAAGCCGGCGGGTGGTCTTACGACACAGAACATGGTCATGTTGTAGATACCGCAAGTGCATGTCAAGTTTGATAAATCGCTGTAGGCTACATGAAGTAAAGCGTATAAACTGTAAACATACATCGTGCATTCTTCTGGGGCGGAATTCTGCATCTCCGCCTCAATCTGGGATGGATGGGAAGAATAACGGAGCCTCGGAGGCAGGGCGAGTGCCCGCCGGGCGGGCGCCGATGGCCCGAGGCTGGCTCTGAGTGGGTTAAATCCACCGAGTCCCTCCATCGCGCCTACCGCAGCCAACGACGGCCGTGACTCAGAAGCAGCTCAGACGCCGCCGCCGCCGCCACTGTCAGCATCGGCACTCTTTGTCTCGTGGCCCTCAGACGTAGCTTCTGCCCGCGCGCTGCCAACCCTGAAAACTGCTGGGGGGTTGTGACTGATTGGCAAGGGGGAAGAGCCGAAAAGGAAAGGAGAAAGAGGAGGAGGAGCAAGAAGAACAAGCTGACAGGTGGGACCCACACGTCGGTGTGATAGACAAGCTGGCCCCAGCTGGCGCAGTAAACTGGACTACCCACCTGCATTTCTTCACGCCGCCCATCTCGCCGCCGCCGCCGTGCACCGCGGAGCTGAGCCGAGCGAACGAGCCCCTCCCACTCCGCACCAGTTCCCCCAGCTCTCCCTACCATCTCAGGCACGCCGGCCGTCCACCTCGCCGTTTCGGTCCCCGCATGGTCCGACACCTCTGGTCCCCGCGCGCTTCGCCGGAGACTCGCCGCGGTAGGTTCTCCTTCTCCCCATCTGAACTGCTTTATCCCTTTTACTTTCCGGCCACCGCGTTTCGTGTTTAGTTTGGGGTGCCGCCGCGGTGAGGCCTTCAGCGGGGAGGCTGCGAGGGTATCGACTTGGGAACATGGCATATACAATGGTTCTTACCCAATTACTCCCATCTACCATGATTCCACCTTGATGTTCGACGAATCTACCGATGACTTTGTGAGATGACACTTCTTTTTTCTTTTCAATGAAAAAGGTAACGTATCTGTATGCCACATTTTATCGATCACTGGTGCTATCAAGCTACTATCGAATATTAATCGGTGGAGATTATAGGGATTTCTCAGTTACAATCTATATAGTCATTGATATACCACCTAAAGCAATTCATCAAAAATATTTGGTCTATCACCTATTGCCTATGTATCTCGCTATGTTTGGCTATTTAGTTTTCAGAGCTATGACCGACTAATCCAACACCGCTGCTCCGTTGCTTCTTGGCATATCTCCTAGCCCAGAAAGCATAGTTGATGAGTGCCACCAGCTCGAAGGCTGCCAGTAAAAAGAAGAAACGATCAAGGCGTGTCCTGTTGAAGTCTGCTCCATCTAGCCACCCTCTTCCACCATCGCCGCGCCGTGACGCGTTGTTCGCCAGCTGTATGAAGGCACATGCTAACCAGGCTGCTATTCCTGCAATAATGGACTGCGCTGCCGGTGCTATCAGCTTCATTTCCGGAGATGACTCGCTCTTTATGAACTCAATCAGTCCGCTGAAGGATGTTGCATCCATGATGCTTAGCAGGAAGAATTGCAGCACCAACCAGAACACGGACATCGGGACACCTGCTCCTGTCGATGTTAGCCCATGCTGTTCTGCGACTGTCAGCCTTCTTGTTTCCACTAACGCCGCAAGGCATGCTGCTGCTACCCCGCACACCGAGCCAGCACCGATACTCTGCAGTGGGGTGATTCCGTGTGTGTGGCCTGTAAATCTTTGTAGCAGTGGCATCAATATCCGCCTGTAGCATGGTTGCATAAGCATGTGAAATGCTGTTGGGATTGCAATGAGAGAGGCGGAGGATATCTGGATCGCGCCTATCCCTTTGTCCATGGTGCTTCCGACTTGTATCGTTAGTGTCATTAGCAGTGTGAAGGGCAGGTAGATGAGCAAGCAGCTGATGAAGATTGGAAGCATTCGGGTGATGGCCTTTGTTAACTCTTCGATCTGAGTGGTGCTACAGAATGAAAATAAATTGTTACCTCCATCAAATATATTCTAGATTTTTCCAAGAATATGCTAAAAGGATTATAGTTGAGTACTTGAGTTAATATCACGATATTGCTACGTCCGGGCATTTCTTTTACTCTTTAAATTGTTGACATCCTAGGATGTAACACTTCTACTTATTTTCAGAAATATAAATGTACTAACAATTTTTTTGAAACGAGTAAATGTACTAATAATTAGCTAAACAGAAAGCAAGAGTTTGGGAATATTGACCACTAAGGAACTTACCCAGTGCTCTTGCTGTCAGATCTGCCTTCCCCATCAACACTATCCGCTGCTCCTATCTCCTGCAGCTCGATAACATCTATGGTAGCAACCTGCCTCTTCTTTGATGAAGTGACAAGAACCTGGAGAATATAACTTGAATGTTGAGAACCATTTGCATCTTCAGTTTTTCTTGTTTTTAACTTGATAGATGCAGGATGAGACACATTCAATTTTTGAAAATTAGCGTCTTGGTTCCTTTATTGCTTGATGAGTAACTAATATGCTAGTTAGGGATGGGACATGGTGACCTTTCAGGATTAAGATTATAAGAATGACTAATGCAGTGCATGGGATCAAGCAAAATTCTGTTCGACCCTGTAAAACTTGGACCGGATAGTCTAGAATTGTGTTGTTCACTTGGAGTAGGATGAAGGAACGCTACATAAGACTAATGAGTACTGGAACCTTCATAATTAGCATGCATACTGTGCTCTGTATGAAGTTTTACCTGCAATATTCCCTTTAGAGGACTTCCATTAGGCTTCTGTGTTCTATAGAAAGGCAGTCCACTGGCTGCCACAAACAGCCCTACAAGTACAATAAGTGCAGATATCATAAAGCCAAGGGCCCAGCCCAAATTGTTCTCGATCCAGACTAAAGCCCTGTTCGGATTCACTCGGCTCCACGGCTGCGACTCCCGGAGCGGAGGGAGCGGCAGTGGAATCCTACGGAGTGGCTCGGAACCAGCTCCTAGCACGGAGCGGAGTTTTGAAATTGGCGAGATACCGAACAGGCCTTAAGAATACCAATCCCATGAGTGCTCCAACAGAGTTTGCAAACTTGATCCAGCTCAAGAACGTACTCTTGAGATGTGTTTCTTTTGGATCATCATTGCTGAACTGATCTCCACCAAGCAATGGTATGCAAGCGCGCATGCAGCCTTCTCCGATGGCAAACATTAATAAGCTCAAGTAGAGCAGTGTTAAGCTCCAACCTTTAGCTGACTCACAGTTGTTTGGTTCTTTGTTTATCTCACAATCCAGAGGATGTTGTGAAGGCAAGTATGCCTGCAATGCTAGCAACATATAGCCCTGCGTCGTTGAACAGAAAATGTTCAGAATTCAGGATTTCTCATCTACTTTCACAATCACAGTTATTAGATACCTAAATGATCTGATGGTAGTTACTTTAAGTATATGGGAGCATGATCATACACTGATACACATGGCCCAAATTGTCTAAGTTGTGGGCAAATTGCTCAATCAACAGGGGCTCACTCTCTTGAATTAGTCAGTTACTGAAACAAAATACTATCAACCCTTTGGTGCATGCTCTTATGTTTAGTGTCGTTATAGAAGACTAAAATTATGTCCAGTCTTGCACAATAACTACAGTAGTCAGTAGCAAAAAAGAAAGGAACTTAATTCTAGATAATATGCTTCACTACAGCAGCTATACTTCAACCTGGTAGCCGAAAAAAACTAAACAGGCCAAAGGGAAATATAAAGCGTCACAGTTTACTTGATAGTACCAAGATAATGAAGGCCATTAAAAGATTGCTACTTCATAATTAGGCTTGATTGACATTGCTCTTACAGGGAGTTTAATGGGTAAGAAGAATTACCAGGACTGCAAGGGGACTGAATACAAATATAGCGGTGGTTCGCCGGATATATATGCCAGAGATAAAGTTCATCAGGGCAGCAAAGAAGGACACTGCACCGACCAGATAGGTGATCACAGCTGAGGAGGTCACAATATCCAGATGTAGTGTCCTGTGGAAATAGGCCACAAGACTGAAGTTTGTGCTGCTGGGGCAACTTCGCAGCACGACCAAAACTGCAAGTGAACATAGAATCAGTTCCAACAAATTGTCTGACTCTGGTTCGAAATGCATGCAACTATATTATTTCAGTTTCAGAAAGAGAAACACACCATATTTTTCAGGTTAGGCCAAGCCATTAAATTCCTAAAACCCATGAGATTCACTCAGTTTTACCAGGCTGAGCTGTACATGGCCAACTGAAAGGTATATCAGGCTAGATCAAACACAGCTAGTCTGAATCCAGTTGGGCCTGACTTTGCTTGGCCAGAAACCTAGTTGCTGGTAACACCAAATGTCTTTTTCTCTGGAACATGCACATGGAGTGCATGTCATTTGCAAAGCCGCAACATGGAAAAGAAAGGGAAATAAACTAGGCTATCAAAAGAAAGACAGAGAAACGAAAAACAACCTATACACCTAACTAGCCCTTCTAGTGTGCTGCGTCAGGAGGCTGACTATGTTGTTGGCAGTTCTTCCAGATATTCGTTATACAGTTATGTTGCACATGCAGCATGCCGCTTTCAAGCAAAGGGTGGTTGTTCTCGAAGGTGGAACATTACAAATTGTTCATGCGGTGGAGATCGAGTCAAAATTCGAAGTGTCATATTTCTTGTTATATCCATGGTACGTACAAAATGTTGCAGCTGCACAGATGATCTTTACCAACATTTTTTATCTGATGTCGTGTATTTTCATCGTATTTCAATATTTTCCATGACAACGTATTTTTATTTTTGCTTGCTTGAGAGAAGCGTAAGAAAAGGAGAAAAGGATCATTGATTCTTGACCATGAGATTTCGTCAGAATTTCTCATGATTAGGCATGATCAATGAGGATTTGGCTGCTCTTTTAACTTACTCGCCCCCATTTTTGTTTAATGCTTAGAAGTCATAAACTATGTATTGAGATTTCGTTTGATATTCCTTTTCTTTTTTTGAATAGTTTGGATAGATGCATCTTTTCGCTATGGCGGTAGGAGATCCTCTTTTTTGTGGGAGCACTGCTGTACACACGATAGTGTGCAGATGATTTTTAAACGACAACCCAATCAGTTCCGTCCATTGCATGGCAGCAGACCCAGCACACCACTAGATTGGCATCGTGTGCCTAGTATCATCGTCTGCACAGCAGTTCCGTTTTTGCAGGGGAGACGATAGGAGATCCTGTCAGCCACGTGTAATATATTGTACATGCCACCCTAGTTTAGTTGACTGCTACTCATGCTCACACACAAAAAAGAAGAAGTCTACGAGATGAAACTTCTAGCTCCGGCGAGCTCTTAGCCCCGCCCCGTGAAACCATGCCTCCCCATGTTTTCTCCTCTACTTTGTTGTGTGTTCCTTAAGTCGCATGCTATGATGTGGCAAGTTCATATGTGCCAGCATGGATGAACCGTGCCACATAAGCAAGGGGGCTGCTTCAGATCGGGTAAGGAACCAAGTCTGCCCGGTTTAGAGAGATGATGGACCAAAGGTATATGAATAGAAAAGGATGAAGGACAAAGTTTTCTAGTATGTGAACAGTTGACGCACCAAAGACATACTTATCGATCCCTACACTTTGCGTGTCAATTATGATAGAATGCTACCAAATCACTGGGCCTACATGCAAGGGCCATCTTCATCCAATGCAACAAGCACCTCTTCCTAGGTCCTCAGGTTGTTGCATCATCGATCCTTAGCCTGTTGTGTTATAACAAGAAGCATATAGAAGAACAGAAACAACGGAAGGCTGAGATAGCGTAGCAAATAACACATTCATGTGTCATAGAATCTCCAGCAGTGCGCAGTTTTATGTACCATGAGCTAAGACAAGTAGATAGAGAGTTCTCTAAAACAATCCCAAGTGCATCACACGGAACCATATGCATACATGCGCGCCCAGCTAAAGTATGACAGAAACAAGCTATATGCATGGTTAGTTGCTCACCGTAGAGGAAGATTGTAGCCTTGATGCCTCCATGCTTCCTTCGATCCGCAGCATTCCCTCTCCAATCTACACACCCTTCAAGCTCCATGAGTATATGTTAGCCCAAGCTAACCAGCATATGCTCCTCTACAGCCCTGGCTAGTTTATAACCCTCTCATATGCATGGATGGCACGACACAAACACACATTGCTCCTATATATTCTATGTAGAAGCTGCAAACTTATGGACAGTGTTCCTTGGAGGCACAAAACAAAAGACAAGCAAAGCACTCTAGATCATTCAGGTGATGCTTAAATCATTAAATGTGTGTCCAGGTGACGCCGCGTATAGACCGCGCGGCGGGGGATGTGGCGGGTGGTTTGTTTTATGAAGCCGAGATCCCGCAGATCATTTACCCTGTGGTTTGTCCTCTAGTTCCAGTTAAGATGGAGAACCAGCCCAGCCACCAGCCCCAGCTTGTCGATCGCTGGTACCATTGTATCAGATCTCTTGGCTACTTTGGACTTTGGAGTAGTCTCCCACGTCGATCGATCGATCAATGTTACTGTTTCTGTTCACGTCAAGCAGATCTTTTGTGGAACTAAAGATGCAACTAAGAATACTGAGAACTGGTAATTGATTAGCTGGCTACAATATGAAATTGCAGATATATCATTGTAGCTTGCAAATGCATTTTGTTTTGTCTTGAAAAGTCTTTTGCAAGTACATGCTGAAGAGATTTTGTGATATATTATCGTACACTTGCAGGGTTGCATCTGTTTACAGCTGCTTGTAGATACTTCATCCGTTTCAAAATATAGTGTTTCCTCTATTTCCGTGCTTCAAGTTTGACCATAAATTTAACCAACGAGACTGACTGCGGCGGGAGCAAAAGTTATACCAGTGAATTTGTATTCAAAATAAGTTTTCAATTATATACTTTTTTCTCCTGCCGCAATCGGTTTCGTTGTTTAAATTTATGATCAAAGTTGGACATCGGAAAGCGCGGGCGCACTATATTTTGAAATGGAGGGAGTACTATATATTGGGTATGGCATGATGCAATTGATAAAGTTCTTTTATAGTAGCACATATAGGGGATGAGATGATGCACATGGCATTTGACCATCTGGTGTTTAAAGAACACCCTGCTGGCACAGGATCCTTCACAGTTTTAACAATGGTTTCGTGCCCTCCCTCAAACAAACAAAAAACAATGGTTTTGTGCCCTGCGCTAATCTTTTAGGCCAAGAAATGCACTGTTTGATCCATTAAATGCGTTTTTAGTCGATCCTATTTGTGTCAGAAGAAGATCATTTGACCTGGCGGTTCCTGTAAATTGGGGCAACAATTTAAAGATGTGCACAATTGCAGAAGACGCGCTTCTCCTAGAAGAGTTTCGGGAACGTTGGGAAAGAGCAGGGATACAATCTGAATCAGCACACCTTAACATACTACTACTACAGTACAAGAGAAGAATCAGTACAGTAGATGCCTGCTCTGCATGGGAACCTGAAGTACATGGAACAGTAGCGCAGCGCTCCAGAAAGTGCAACCTCTGAAATTGGATCCTCCATTCCAGATCATGCGCGAACCTGTGGTTGGGTAGTTTGAGAGACCGTGGTATTCCCAGCCCATTAAGGTTCAAGTCTTGGTGCTCGCATTTATTTCAGGATTTTCGGCGATGCGCATTCAATGGTAGGAGACGTTCCTGTCGACGACGAGGTGCCTACGACGACTTTGTAAATTTCAAAATGATATGTCGGTTCAGTCGAGTGAGTGTATGTGCGTGTATATAAGCGCTTGCGTCTATACTGTGTTAAAGAAAATCACGACGGTGGGCCCATCTATAGGATCGATTAATTCACGAAGTCAAAATGGATGGGGGCGGGCCGCCCCTGCGTGCCGTCACGTGCCTGGCTTGTGACGCTACGCAGAGCCGCACCAGAACCGCTCGCGGGCGGCCATGCGCATCGCCCGTGTCTTTCTGTTGAAAAACTCGTACCCGAGTGCGTACGCACGCACCGCAGCGCAGGCCGCCGTGCCGTGCCCAGGCGCGGGCGGCGCGGCGCGGAGCGCGCCAACCCGCGCGACACCCCGGGCTAGGAGGCAACAGTCCACTCCTCAAGCCATCGAGCGGCGCCACGTACCGCGGCTCGCCGCCGCCGCCGCGGATTGCCCGCGGGCGCAGCCGGCCGGGCGTCCGTCCCGAGGCGTGCGTGTCGTGTGCTTTCTCCCGTGTCTCACGTGGATCCATGCGCGGGCGGCCTTTGGAGGACCTGAGGAGCCACCTGACTTGCAGGGCGCCATATCGCTGCGGCTGTTAACCTACGTCCTGCGGCGTAGGCGCGCCCATGCTTTGATTCATCCTTCAGCCCGATCGGTTGTTTCAAGTCCAAGTGACCTACGTCGTCGTGAGTCCTCTGCTAACAGCCCCCCGGCATGGCCAGTTATGATGAGCATTGGGCTGCCGTGCTGGACACGATCGGTACGCGCGGCCGCGTGCATATGGCATGCATGCTCCCGCCACGGCCGGGCGCCGCTCGCGCCGTTTTTGCCTCCGCGTCGCTGTTTCCGCACCACGTTTTAGTACCACGTCGCTAATCTAGGGGAACATCCCGTGGCATAAAAGGCGGTGACCGGGTGCCTAATTCACCGTGCGGCCAGCACGGTCAAAGCAACGACTATCAGGACCGGCCCTGTGTTTTGGAAGGCCCTAGGCGAACTCGGTGACATGGGCCCCTATATAAATTTCAACCAAATTTGACTATAATAATTCAACTGACTCCATCGACAACAATAATAACTAAATTCGAACTGACTCCATCGACAACAATAATACTTCAGTGCTTCAAAAAAAGTTTCTTCAGACGTTTCTTGATGTAATAATACTTTCTTTCTTTCTTCTCCTTTTTTCAGCACCAACATCTTCTTCTTAGGCAACATGGCAGGATAATGTCCTAAAATCATGAAAAAAAGAGGGTACAAAGAATTAAGAATTTATAATCGGATGATTGGAACCCTAGACATACATGTGGGTAGTTGAATACGTACATACTACTGAAATTGTCAAATTGGGATCTGGAGGGATGGATTAGGTCATCAGGAACATGGATGGATCATGGATACATATACGGGCTGAAGAAACTGACGGATGGAATGGATCATGGATTACCTCGTTGGGTCGTTGCAGACTTTGGGTTACCGGACTGCTATGTGGCGCGCGCAGCGGCAAGCCGGCGGCGGCCGACCGGCAAGGCGCCGAGCGCCAAGAGGCAGGCAGGACGAAGAGATTAGAGACCAACCGTCCAGACTCCAGACGAAGGAAAAGAAAATGAGCAGCCGGTACCGATCGCTGGCGCTAGCGTAACGCTTCGTAATCGATTGTATGGGCCTCACGCCCTAGCCCATCTCGTTTTTTTACCTTTTTTTGCTGGGCATTAGTATGTATATGTACTACATCATGGGCCCCCCTCCCACCTGGGCCCTGGGCCGCCGCCCCACCGCCCATGCCCCAAGGCCGGCCCTGACGACTATTGATCTGACCGCAAAGGGCCTCCATGCTTAGAGGCCCTGCTCACGATTCATGCATTCTAACGAAATATTATCTGTCTTTGCAGGTGGTGGCCTTTTGTCATAAAAGCTTACAAAAAACATCCAGAACTTAAATAAAAATTGAACTATATTTCTACAGTAAGTTCGCGTAGCCCATCTAAGCTGACTGCAGAAAATAATCAAAGCAATTCCTTCCTCCGCCATAAATCTTTTTAAAATAGTTTCTTCACAGGAACAGTTCGACTTTCTTTCACCGGCCTCCTGGCGGCATGACCTTAGGGCATCTCTAGTTGATCCCTAGATATCGATAACTCCTTGTTATTTTCGTTCTGATGAGTTAAGTAATCTGCCTTTAACTCCTCAAAAAAATTACTCCTCACGCCAGACGCTGCTTATATCTACTCCTCCGCGGCAATTTTTCGGGGTAATTTCGGTCCTTCCCCGCGTTATCCCTATCACTCGTTTGCCCGTCGGTGCGACCGTTGTGTTCCTTGCTTTCGGCGATTGCCCCGCCCACCTACGCCCGCCAAATTACGGTGAGATTTCGACGAGAATCCGGTGAGCTTTTTTTCTTTGTTTTTTTCTTCTTTTCCACTGTCTCCCGCCGCGGCGACGCTCCCTCGTCATCCCTAGCCCGGCAGCGCTCCTCCCATCATCCCCCGCCACGAGCAAAGTTGTGACACACGCGGAGGGAACCTACAGAGAGGAAAAGTTCAATGTACACAAAGAAACCTACAGGAAGAGTGGTCGCCATTGCCGATTCCGATGAATCCATGTCTTCTGGAATCCGGACGATGCCATTGTGCCACTAGGAAAAGGAGAGGGGAAGAACCCATTCAAGAGGACAAAGCGCCCAAGCCATGGCCTATGGAGGGAGAATTTCGACTACTTTGTCAACTATTTCGGCACACGCTTACATCGCACATGGTGAGGCTCCTTCAAATTACTTTTGCATAGCATCTTTCATATGTACTAGCCAGCTCATGGAAATCATCTAAAGCCGAAAAGCCATAGTTGGCCACGTGAAAGGAATAAGAAAGAAGAAGGGGAAGTGAGATCTAGTTTGTTTGAGAAGTTAAGTTTGAGAGTCCGGTTAGGTTTGCATTTTTTTTGAACTTCTCAAATAAAAAGAGTTAAGGTATAATGGGCCATCTGAGTGAGTAAGGCGTTTCGGTGCCCAGGCTCACCTGCACCTGATTAGAAAAAAAAATAAAGAATCAAAAAAATTCAAACAAATTTTGTGCGGTAGACAATTTGATGCGTGAGGCTCATTCCAAATTTCAAGTCACTTGGACATCTGAGCGGCTCTTCGCAAAAAAGACAAATCGGACGAAAACAGTACATAAACAGTAAACATTTTTACAGACCCCCAACTTGTCTTTTTTGCTAAGAGCTCCTTAGCTGTCCAAATGATTTGAAAATTGGAGCGGGCCTCACGCATCAAATTGTCTACCACACACAAAAAAGAAATTTTTTGAGAAAAAAATATATTTGTTTTGATTTTTTTCGTCAGCGTGGGTGCAAATGAGCTCGGGTGCATAGATGGATTTTCA